ATGACGTGGAGCCTCTTTTCTTTCCTCTGTCCCAGCACTGCTCCCACTGCATAATCACTAGCATCGGTCATGACCTCAAAAGGTAGTTCCCAATCTGGTGGCTGGACAATAGGAGCGCTGACTAGAGCTCCTTTGATAGTGTGAAATGCCTCCAAACAAGCATCATCAAACTCAAATTTCACATCCTTGCACAGCAGCTGCGTCAGAGGTCTGGCAATCTTCTAGAAATCTTTGATGAAGCGTCTGTAAAAACCTGCATGGCCCAGAAAACTGCGAACCCCCTTGACTGATGTTGGTGGCTGCAGACTCATCATCACCTCGATCTTTGCCCTGTCCACCTCGATCCCTTTCTCTGAGATTTTGTGTCCCAGCACGATCACATCTCTCACCATGAAATGGCATTTCTCCCAGTTAAGCACCAGATGCTTCCCCTCACACCGCTGCAAGACCCTGCACAGATTAGACAAACAGACAGAAAAGGAGCTTCCATAGACAGAAAAATCGTCCATGAAAACTTCCATTATGTCTTCAATCAGGTCAGTGAAAATCGACATCATGCAGCGTTGGAATGTTGCTGGAGCATTACACAAGCCAAATGGCATTCTGCGATATGCAAAGGTGCCATAAGGACATGTGAATGTCGTCTTTTCCTGGTCATCCGGGTGGATTGGGATCTGAAAGAAACCTGAATAACCATCTAAGAAACAGTAATAAGGATGGTTAGCCAAACGTTCAAGCATCTGATCGATAAATGGTAAAGGAAAATGATCTTTGCGAGTTGCAGCATTCAATTTCCTGTAATCTATGCACATTCGATGCCCAGTAACAGTTCTAGTTGGTATCAATTCATTCCTATCATTTTTTATCACAGTGATGCCACCTTTCTTAGGAACTACATGAACCGGACTAACCCAATTACTATCTGAAATCGCATAGATCACACCAGCTTCTAGAAGTTTCATTATCTCTTTCTTTACAACATCTTGTAGATTCGGATTTAACCTCCACTGATGTTCTACAGAAGTCATTGATTCATCTTCTAAATGTATTCTATGCATGCAAAGATCAGGAGAAATCCCTGGAATGTCATCTAGTGAATATCCTATAGCTTTCCTATACTTTCTAATTTCACAAAGAAGCAAGGCAATCTCTACATTGTTCAATTCAGAGTTCACTATCACAGGGAATGTCGAATTGGGTCCTAGAAACGCGTACCTGAGCCCCACAGGAAGGGGTTTGAGCTCAAGCTTTGGAGCTCTCAATTCGCTCCAAGGTCCATCAATCAAACCGTCGGGAGCAGGTGCTCCAGGATTCAGAGCAGGTGCTCCGTCGGCTTTTTCTGCAGGTGAGCTCTCCTTGCCTTCTAAGCTCATGTACGCCACCAGCCTTTGCATCCTCGTGCTTGCATTCAGCATTTTTGCAAACCCATCGGCATCTTCACTCAAATACCCATGTTCTCCTTCAGCTTTGGTGAGTGCAACTTCCAGAGGATCGATGGCCAAAACCTCTTCAGAAACCTCTTCAGCAATGCCTGAACCATCATCTATGACAAATGTCTGTTCGTCCAGCATTGGTTTCTTGAAGAGTTTATTCATCTCAAATCGCACCACCATATCTCCCAGCTGGAGATCTATCACTCCTTCTTTCACATCTATGATTGCACCAGCTGTGCATAAGAAGGATCGACCCAAAATCAAAGGATCCTTGGGTTCTTCATCAAGCTCCAGAACCACAAAATCTGCTGGAATGAGTGTATCACCTATCTGAACATGCAGATCCTCAAGTATACCAACAGGGAATTTGGTTGATCTATCAGCGAATACCAGCGAGATTTTCGTCGGTTTGAATCTGGTGTAACCCAATCGCTTGGCTACAGAGTAAGGCATCAGATTCACACTTGAACCTAGATCGCAGAGAGACCTTGCAAACAGTACATTCCCAATCCTGACTGAGAGAACAAACCTTCCTGGATCACTTCTCTTCTTTAGCACTTTGTTCTGAAGTACAGCACTGCACTCCTTCGAAACCATCATGACACTCTCTTCCTCAACAGCTTTCCCAGACACTAACCCCTTCATGTATCTTTTAAGGGCTGGTATCATCTGAACAGCATCAGCTAGAGGGAGTTTTACAGTCAAATCCTTCAGCATCTCCCTGCACTTTGCATCCTCTAAGTCCTTGCGAGTCTTTGGTGGGACTGGGTAAGGTACCTTAGGCGTGTAAACTCTTGCAGGAATGTTTGCTGGAGCAGGTGGCTGGAGCAGGTGCTCCCTCGTTGACTCAGGGTGCTCCATCGTCAAATCTACGTCTGGAGCAGGTGCTCCAGATTTTGGAGCAGGTGCTCCGATGGAGGAAGAGTGCTCCTTCGTCTTTTTTACGTCATGAGCTGGTTCCTCTTCTTGGAGCAGGTGCTCCACGTCCTTTTCCTTCTTCTTTTCTGAGACAGAGCTTGTTGGTGCAGCATGTAGAGTCTTCCCACTTCTAAGCCCAATAGCATTCACAAACTCATTCCTGGAGTTTTCACCTTTTCCAGGGAGAGTTCCAGGTGATCTCTTCACAGCTTCTGCAGTCTGAGCTACCTGAACATCCAGCTTCTTCACATGAGTCCACACAGCCTCATACTTGCCATTCAAATCATTGTACATGGTGTCCACTTTGGCATTAATCTCCATGGAAGACTTTTGCTGATTAACCAGCAGCTGTTGCATCAAGTTTTTCAGCTCATCCTGCGAGTTATTTGAGGAACTCGAAGAAGGCTGTAGACTTGTGAAAGGCAACTTCTGCTGATTTCCACCTTGAAATCGATTATGATTGGTGATGAACTGCTTTCCTTGTAAGTTGCTGGAGAAGTTCTTCTGAAATCCTGACTGATTCTGCACTCCTTGCTGCGGATAGACCTGATCCTGAGGGTTCTCAACATTGTTGCTTCTATAGGATAAATTCGGGTGGCTTCTGAAGTTGTTGAAACTGCGATTCTGCACATACCCTTGTCCATTCACGAAATTTACCTCCATCTGATCATTATTCTCTGCATCTACAAACTCTTGAGCAAGAGGTGCATCACCAACCTCATCAGCAAAATGCACAGATCTCTGGTTCTCTCTCAACAGCAGATTCACCTTTGCTGTAAGCTCATCGATTTTGCTCAACTCCACACTATGAACTGATTTCCTAGACCTGTCATACTCTTGGGATTTGTTGCTGGAGCTTGCAGCTAAGTTCTCAATCAACTCATAAGCAGCTTCTTTGGACTTAGTCATGAAATCGTCATTGCTAGCTGCATTCAAAGCATTCCTGTAATCCCAGTTGACACCATCATAAAAGGTTGACAGAATCTGCTCATCAGAGAACCCATGGTGAGGGCACTCTCTTCGGTACTCCTTGTACCTCTCCCAAGCTTCGCAGAAAGCCTCACCTGAGTGACATCTACTAGTAGACATCTACTATATAATCAATTTATTTCATGGGTGATGTGTTAATGTTCAAGCAACCGAGGAGATTTCAGACCTCCCAGATCTGAATGTCGAGCTCGCTAAAGATCAAGTTCGTATTCACCTATTAGTAGCAGTCTTTTGATAATTGATTATTTTCACTTATCTTGTGTTACTGTTTAGCCCACCCTCGAAAATGCAGATATCCTAGAATTGATATAATTGATATCGATTATTAATAGTCGTTTATCTAATTGATATATGTATTCGACTATGTCTCTTATTCTTTTAATCGTTCAGGTTACAGATGTAAATGTTGGCCTCCCTGATCCCAATTATGAAGTAGCTAAAGAACAGGTATGTAATCGACCTTTAATAATCATCTATTTATGTAAGACATGTAATCGAGTATCTATTATTGTAGTAAACTACTTTATAATCAATTATTTTTACTTATCTTGTGTTACTGTTTAGCTCACCCTCGAAAATACAGACATCTCAAACCTGAATTCTGAGATTCATAAAATACAGGTCCATATTTAGCTATTAATAGTTGTCTATGTAGTTGATATATGTACTCGACTATGTTTTTTATTTTATAGTTTATATCTATCTATTAATAGTTGTCTATCTAATTGATATATGTATTCGACTATGTGTTCTATTTCTTTTGATCATTCAGGTAACCGATGTGAATGTTGGCCTCTCTAATCCCAATTATGAAGTCGCTTAAGAACAGATATGTAATCGATTTTCTTATAGTTGTCTATTTATGTAAGACCTGTAATCCAGATTTCTTATTGTAATACACTATGTTTACATATTTTACATATATATTACAATACTCAGTTCAGTATGTAGTTAACTATATTTTAACCATAATCGACTACTGTAAGGGATATTGAACCCAGTAATAGACGATACCCCAACTTTTTCTCATTCATAGAAAATCCTCCAGCTTTTTTCTTTAATTTTTTTTCGCTTGGACTATATTTTAATCATAATTATATACACTCCAATCGATGCTTAAAAATAGTCACTGCTATCGTTCTAAAGTTGATGGCAGCGTCTTCAACTTTACAAAAAGTAGACGTCCTTTTCATATCAGGAAAAAGCATTGTTTTGGATAAGGAAGCAAGGGGTTTTTTGTATTTTTCCCAGTTTCTGGACGATTGACTATTACTATTTACTTAATTGACTGTTCTTGTATGGTATTTACCTAATTGTCAGTATAAAAGGTATTATTTATGCAAATCACCAAAAAAAAAAGCACACCAATGTTTGGCTGGTGATATTGTGTTTATTGGGCTACGAGAGTAATTTCCCACTTACAAAAAAAAAGACGTTAAACTTTATATAATAAAAAATTGCGCAAAAGACTTTAAATTTATTATATAATTTCAGCATGAATAAAACTATAAAACCTTTTCTAGTTGAAGGACAACACATTCGTAAAATATTAAAATGATAAAAGTTCGACGATTATGTGAAAGAGTTTAGTACAAATGGCGCATATATTATGCTTTCCTTTTTGTGAAAAGGAAAAGGAATCAAACCAGCTTGAGGATTTCAATCTAAGCTTGAACATTTCTTAGCAATTGTGGCTTTAAGCCCATGCTTCATCTGGAGAATAAGACCAGGTTTTGGCTCAATCTTTTGTCCACTGATGACCCTAATCTCATAGTTTTGTAATATCTCCACGATCACTGTCTTCATCAGATTCATAGCCAAGTTCTTACCTAGACATGTTCTTGGGCCGGCCATGAACGATAGAAACTTGAAAGAAGGCTCATGTTTCAACTCTCCTGTCTCTGAAATCCATCTCTCTGGCTTGAAATCTATCGCGTCTTCCCCCCATATGGCTTTCATTCTCCCCAAGGCGTAAATAAAGATCATAATATTGGTATTTGATTTGACTTTATGTCCACTTGGAAGCACATCCGGTTTGATTGGAGACTTGCGTTCAAATGGAATTGGTGGGTAGAGCCTCAGTGATTCACTCAATGCGGCATGTAAATACACCAGCTTGTTCATGTACGATGACTTGTCTTGGCCATTTCCCTTTTTTGGTAGATTTGTGTTCATCTCTTGGAGAATCTTGGTTAGAACATTAGGGTTTTCAGACAGAATCCAAAAGAACCAAGTGAGTGTAGCGGCCGTGGAATCTCTCCCAGCTGCCATGATACCTACTGCGTAGTCTCTGAGGAACTTATCATCTTCTGGATTCAAGAGCTCGTACTTGTTTGTATCAAGTTTTATGTGGTATGTCAAAAGATCTTTACAATCTCCTTGGGAACGAGTAATCCCTTGTGATCTGATCTCTTCTCTCTTGGATGATATAAATTTTGTACAAACACGATCAAGAGTGGCGTTAGCTTCCATCATATTCTTCTCTGTTCCGATTCCAATCCATTTTTGAAGATTCCACAAGAATCTCGGTGCAATATGCCTATACACAACCGCTTCTCCAATATCGTCAAACGCTTTGGCAAACTCAGCCTCTGGCATTTCAATGGAGAGACTTCTAGGATCGGACCCAGTTAGAAAAATGTAGGTTGTATCGAACATGAATCTCTGGAACACATCTTGCAAGTCCACAACCATCTCCTCCTCTGCAAAATGATTGAGAAGAGGTACAAGCCCGTCTGTGAGTTTACTTCTCGTGGTAAATGTTGAGAAGTTTTGGAACCCTTGATGGTTGAATGTAGCCTGAGATAACTTCCTTAAATTCCTCCATAAATCCGAGTCCGAGTTGACAATACCATCTCCAAAAACTTCAAAAATTTCATGGAACTCAGGACCTTTGATGTAGTTTGAGAAGTTTGAGGTCAACATGTAATGGATATTAGCTGAATCAACTGTCACCAATGTATCCATTCCAGCGAACCACGGGCCCTTGAATTGAAAAGTCAGGTTGGAGCACTCGAGAACTTCAACGCTGTAGTCATAGATGTGATGGAGCCTCAAGAGCACACCAGGAAGCATACCGAGAACAGGCCAGTTCCAAGGGTAGCTTTTATGGGTTTTTTGGATGAGTAAGCAACAAAAGGGTTTCGTGTGAAAGAAGAAATAGAATGTGAAAAGACAGAAGAAAGCTATAAATGCTTCATACAACCCTATTGAAGCCATAAGAGAGGGATGTTTTTTTTTTTTTTTTTTTGTTGAATAAGAAGAAGAAGGAACTTGATTTGTAGACACATGATCGAACATCAAGATTTCATTACATTTATATAACCGAACCAAATATAATTTTCATTACATTTAATTGAGCCAGAGAGAAATCTTTTGATTGACGCCAAAGATATGTTTGAAATATCATGTTTGTATTTCGCTATAATCAGAGGAATCTAAGAGCGTTGAAGATCAATGGTCCCCGGTCTCCTGTAAAGAAGGATCAAATAATTGAATGATGATAATTCTTATTTATGGTAATCCAGCGCAAAGTAACTTACTTGAAGGGGTTTCTTGATGATGAAGTAATTGAGATAGAAGATGAATTCCCCATTGAGCCCCATTGGGCTTACGTTAGATATCTTTGCTTGTATTAATTTTCACATGCTGAGTTGACGCGTACAGATCACGCCGTTACTACTAGTTTTCCCATTTAATTGTTTTGTCACCACAAAATTAACTAATTTTATTAGTCTCATTGATCTAATAGTTGATCAATGATTCATTAATTAAAGTTTATAAATAAAAAAATGTTTTAGAAAATGTGATTTAATGTTAGAAGTTAGAACCATGGAGATGAATTTATAAACTCAAAGTAGCAAAGTGAGATACTCTGAAACTCTAGGTAAACAGCAACCACCATGCAAATGGATCAGAAGCAGTTAAGCTCTTTAAAGATGATAACATAAAAACTAATAATTAAACATTACAGGATGTTGGAGACTTGGAGTTGGCTTAGGACACTGTTAGGGTCTGAGGAAGAAGAAGATAGTTGTTACATTATGATTTTGTAAAGTTATAATTATTTTCAGTTGTGCCATGTCACACTTATAATAATATTCTTTGACGATAACTAGTTTAAAAAGTTGAGGACACTACATCGTAAAATATTTAATGATAAAAGTATTCAACGATTACGTGACAGAGTTTAATACAAGTGGAGCATTGCTTAATAAATCTTAAGGTAGAAAAAACGTATCAGAAATCATTGATTAATTACCAATTTCTTAGGACCATGCTTTGTGATCTCCTTGTTAATCGCATATATTATACAACTTGAGCATTTCACTCCGAGCTTGAACATTTCTTAGTAATTGTGGCTTTAAGCCCATGCTTCATGTACAGCATAAGACCAACCTTTGGCTCAATCTTTTGTCCACTGAGGATCCTAATCTCATAGTTTTGTAATATCTCCACGATCACTGTCTTCATCATATTCATAGCCAAATTCTTACCGATACATGCTCTTGGGCCGGCATTGAACGATAAAAACTTGTAAGAAGGCTCCTGTCTCAACTCTCCTGCTTCTGAAATCCATCTCTCTGGCTTGAACTTCACCGCGTCTTCTCCCCATACGGCTTTCATTCTCCCCAAGGCGTAAATAAAGATCATAATTTTGGTATTTGATTTGACTTTATGCCCACTTGGAAGCACATCTGGTTTGACTGGAGACTTGCGTTGAAATGGAATTGGTGGGTATAGCCTCAATGTTTCATTCAATGCGCCATGTAAGTACACCAGCTTGTTCAAGTACGATGACGTGTCTTGACCATTTCCGGTTTTTGGTAGATTTGTGTTCATCTCTTGGAGAATCTTGGTTAATACATTAGGGTTTTCAGACAGAATCCAGAAGAACCAAGTGAGTGTAGCGGCTGTGGTATCTCTACTAGCTGCCATGAAACTTGCTCCCGAGTCTCTGATGTACTTATCATCTTTTGGATTCAAGAGCTCGTACTTGGTTGTATCAAGATTAATTATGTCGTATATAGAAAGATCTTTACTTTCTCCACTCGAATGAGTAACCCCTTGTGATCTGACCTCTTCTCTCTTGGCTGATATAAATTTTGTACAACGACGATCAAGAGTGGCACTAGCTTCCATCATCTTCTTCTCTGTTCCGATTCCAATCCATTTTTGTAGCTTCCACAAGAATCTCGGCGCAATATGCCTATACACAATCCCTTCTTCAATATCATCAAGAGCTTTAGCGAACTCAGCCTCTGGCATTTCAATAGAGAGACTTCTAGGATCGGACCCGGTTAGAAGAATGTAGGTTGTATCGAACATGAATCTCATGAACAAATCTTGCAAGTCCACAACCAGCTCTTCCTTTGCAAAATGATTGAAAAGAGGTACAAGCCCGTCTGTGAGTTTACTTCTCGTGGTAAATGTTGAGAGGTTTGGGTACGCTTGATGGTTGAATGTTGCCTGAGCTACCTTCCTTAATTCTCTCCATAGCTCCGAGTCTGTGTTGAGGATACCGTCTCCAAAAGCTTCAAAAATTTCTTTGAACTCAGGACCTTTGATGTAATTTGAAAAGTTTGAGGTCAATATATAATTGATATTAGCTGGATCAACTGTCACCAACATATCCATTCCAGCGAACCACAAGCCCTTGAATTGAAAAGTCAGGTTGGAGCTCTCGAGAACCTCAACGCCAAAGGCATAGCTGCGATGGAGCCTCACGAGCACACCAGGAAGCATACCGAGAACAGGCCAGTTCCATGGGTAGCTTTTAAGGGTTTTTTGGATGAGTGAGTAACAAAAGGGTTTCATGTGAAAAAAGAAATAGACTGTGATGAGAAGACAGAAGAAAGCTATGCATGCTTCATACAACCCTATTGAAGCTATAAGAGAGGGCTGTTTTTTTTTTTTTTTTTGAATAAGAAGAAGAAGGAACTTGATTTCTAGAGACATGATTGAACATCGAGATTTCATTACATTTATATAGCCAAACCAAATATATTGTCTCATTACATTTAATTGAGCCAGAGTGGAATCTAATGATTGACGCCAAAGATATGTTTGAAATATCATGTTTCTATTTCGCTATGATCAGAGGAATATATAAGATCGTTGAAGATCACATAACTGAATTCTTATTTATGGTAATCCAGCGCAAAGTTACTTACTTGAAGGGGTTTCTTGATGATGAAGACTTGAAGTAATTGAGATAGAAGATGAATTCGCTTTTAAGCCCCATTGGTCTTACGTTAGATATCATTGCTTGTATTAAAAGCTATAGAGCCGTTAATCAACTTATCACATGCTGCATTGACGCGTACTGATCACGGGGCTTCCTCTAGTTTTCCCATTTAATTGTTTCGTCACTACAAAATTAGTTAATTTTAATTAGTCTCATCGATCTAATAGTCGATCAACGATTCATTAATTAAAGTTTATAAAAAAATGAAATTTAATTTTTAGAAAATGTGATTTGATGTTAGAATCATGGAGATAAATTTATAAACTCAAAGTAGCAAAGTGAGATATTCTGAAAGTTTAGGTAAACAGCAACCACCATGCAAATGGATGAGAAGCAATTCCGTAGGAAACTATGTTTTTTGGTTTATTCCATATCGATAATCTAAGATAATTTAAGTGAAGAAATTGTTCTATAAATAAGAGTCTTCACCTTCTCTCCCTCTAATAAATAATTACTTAGTCAAATTTTAGGCTCATAGTTATTAGAGAACTTATTTTGTATATATTTTATTAATCAAATTTATAATTAATTTATATTTTAATTTAAATTCAATTTCTGATATTAATTTAAGTTTTAATTTTATAAAATTATATTGGTAATAAATTGGTAATTTTATAAAATTATATTGGTAGTAAAAGATTAGTAAAAAAATTGTAGGAAATAGCTAAGTAATGTTTCGTAGGAAATTGGAAGGAATACTAATCGATAGAAAATGATACTAATTTGGTAGGAAAGTTCTACTAAAATTTATGTAGGAAAACTGTCATACCAATATTTTTGTAGGAAATTTCCTACCATTTTCTTACCTTTTACAATTTCCGACGGCCAATTTCTTATGACAAAATTTCGTAGAAATTTGGTAAGAAAGAGCTGTTTCTTACAATTTTCTGACGATATTTTCCGTATGTTTTCGGCATGTTTTCGGCATGTTTTCTTGTAGTGATGATAACATCAAAACTGGTAACTAAACATTACAGGATGTTGGAGTTGGCTTAGGACACTGTTAGAGTCTGAGGAAGAAGAAGATAGTTACGTTGTTACATTATGATTTTGTAAAATTATAATTATTTTCAGTTGTGCCATGTCACACTTATAATAATTAATATATTCTTTGACGATAACAAGTTCAAAAAGTTTATCCAACAAACCAGAAAGTTTGGGAGGAGATGCTTAGATTTCTTGATACGGAACAAGGGAGAAGCTATTAGGTTTCATGTAACGCAAGGTAACTAAGACATCAAAAGGATAGAACAACAAGTAAAGAACTTTGCAGAGAAATAACTTTAACAAATCATATTAAAACATGCTTATAACAAACACCAAACTTCATTCATTTCTTCAAAAATTTAGAATTCAGTTTTCTTACAAAAAATAAATTCTCCTAAAGAAAAACTCACAAGATTGCATATTTTACCAATATGGCCTCTGTGTGCAATGTTATGAGTCCAACGGTTACCACAAATCTCATTACCATATTCAAAAAAGATCCACGGCTCAAATCCAATCTGCCTTCTCTACAACATTCTGGGCTTATTGCAATCAAGAATGATCCAAGAAAAGTTATGAATAATTTTGCTTCAAGGAGAAATATTGTGGTTTCGTGTTCAGATCGACCTAATTGCACGCCGAATCAATTCTCTGGATATGATGCTGTTATGAAATTTTATTCGTCTATTAACGAGAGGAATAAAGATCGACTCCGTAGTTGCATCTCCAACGATTGCTTTATAGATGATTTCTCGTTCTCTAAACCTTTTCATGGAAGAAACGTAAGATTATTTTCTATAAAAATTTCCATGAATATTAAGTTTATATACGATATGTGTATTGATCTCTTAGAATTTAAGATTTGTTCCTGTTAATGAACTAAGAATGTTTGTATTTTTACAGGAAGCTATGAAGTTCTTTGAAGATTTGGTGAAGAGTATGGGACAAAACGTTAAGTTTTGTGTTGAAAATGTTTGCGAAGGAGATGGATATAGTGCTGCTGTTAATTGGCATCTTGGTACGTATTAGTACACTATTAATGCCTAATATACTTAATCTAATGATCATTAATTGGTAGAGCTAATACTTTAAACAAAAATTATTTTTCTTTTATTTTATTATTATGGTAAAGAATGGAAAGGACGCAAAATTCCCTTTGCCAGAGGATGTAGCTTCTATGAATTTACAGAACAAGGAGGAAAACTGGTTATAAGGTAAATAGTTTTTTTTGTACGGGGGTATATTGATATCTTAAAATTATACTTTTTCAGGCGAAGTATATTTTAGCAAGAAAGCTTTATCAAGACCATTAAGAAAATAAATCTTATTTTGACAAACTATTTTCAGAAACGCGAGGATTTTGACTGAATCCCCAATTAAGCCGGGTGGAATCGCATTGGTAAAATATTTCTTATCAATTTTTAATGAAAAAAATGAATGAGAATTGTATTATTAATTTTGATAGCCTGCATTTCTTTTTGATGTATTATTTTCAGAACCTGTTAAAGAACATAACCTTCTTGTTCGACGAATTCCCCCAAGTCGCTGACTGTAAGTTTCCAATTCTCTCGTTATTTATATAAATAATATCATTTAAAATAATTATAAATTTGTAATATTTTCTTAATTTTTTTTTGGAATATTTCAGGGTTTTTGGAGAAACCTTATGCTATAATCCAATTAACATTAAGAATATATGGTTTGTTTTTGGCGCCACTCATAGGCCATATAATGGCAAGCTACCTGATGCTATTAAACAATACGACCGAGTTCTTTTTATTAGTGTTAAAAATTATTATCAAGATTCGAAGTTTCTTCTCCAAATAAAGAAATAAAGATTACTTGTTTTCATTAAATCTCTTTTTCGTACCCTTGATATATTTTACAAATCACTTTGCACAGAGTGAGACATCTATAAATTTTTTTATAATATCCAAGTTTGAAATAAAAAATATGGACTAAAACAATATATATATGATGTAAACCACATTGTTATATAAAAATAAACTATTTTGATAAAAGTATAAAGATAAAATTATAATATATAATGTTATATATAGTGCATTTTACTATTAGAATAATTAAATTAACTCTAACCACTACAAAAAAAAATGTGTATTACATTACTTAATTTGTATCATTAAAATAATATGATATTTTTTGAAATCACTTATTACCAATTGATATAAAAATATGTAATTTAACATGTAACTGATTTTACCATTAGTTGAATTAACATCAATTCAATAATAAATGAAGCAAATTTTTATTAATTTATATTATTTTATGAAAAGTGATACAAAAATATGAATGCATATCACTAAGATAATTGATGTAACTACATTTTTTGTTAATATCATTTAGAAAAATGATACAAATATTACATTAATAAAAAAATGATGCTAAAAATTTTAACTAACTTTGATGTTTTGTCCCACATTAACAACTAAAAGAGGAGGTAAGGAGTTTAGTTTCTTATAAATAACTCTAAAAATCAATATTGATGTAAAATCATAAGTAAAAATTTTAAATTATTTATAAAATAATTATAAAGTAATATTAAAATAATTCAAATAATTTAATACGAATTTTTAATTGTTATATATATTTTTAAAATTGATAATTATTATATAACATTACCATTGATGCAAATCTTTAACATCATTTTTTGGCTACCGATACAAATTAATATTGATTATAATGATTGATGCAAATATTTACATTATTTGCTTAATTGATGTAAATATTTACATAATTTGCTTAAATTAATGTAATAAATTTGCACAACTGATGTAAATATTTGCATCACCACTTTCAGAATCACTTATTTAAATGATGTAAAATTCTTTTATAAGAGACAAAGCTGAAACAGAGCAAAGAGTTTTTGCTGGGTTTAAGGAAGTGGGCCTCGGTGATGGAACGATAGACGGCCCAAGTCCTGATAATAGAAAAAGACAAAATGCTGTTATGAAAGGGAACAGAGCTGAAGCAGAGCAGCTCCGTACTTGTACGACCATGGAGCAAAAGGGAAGCCAGCTGGGACTGTTCCGATCTACAATCGATATGAAACCCTACTATCAACGGTCTAGATTTGTTCTACATTAGGGCTTCCTTCATTCTTCTTATCTATATAAGTTCATTGTAAAGAAATTTTGTAACCAAGCCATTTTTGAGTATAATTTCAAATACAAAGCAAACTCTTTTTGTTATTATGGTATCAGAGCCACTGTAAGAACCCTAACCGGTCAAGATGGCAGATCCCGCTCCATATCCGTTTCTAGTGAACAGTAATAAAAAGAAAATTATGTATGAATAAGATTTAGTCCCCTTAGCATAAATAATATAAATTATAAAACTAAATGAAACAGATAACTAACTTTTGAGTCGATTACAACACTTTTGAATCCTAAACCAACAACAAATTGGTTTTTTTTTTTGCAAAGTCTTATGATATTCACATTTATTTTTCAAATATTCTTCAAAAGTTTTAAATTAGAGATTGAGTTGAAAAAAAAAAAGAATTATGGAAAACAAAGATTATAACTAAAATTTTAATGATTAATTTAATAAGATATATTTGATTCTCTAACCAAATTAATATGAGTAGCATTGATTATAATTATTCTAGTAACATAAGTATTTTTTCAAAAACTCTTGAGAAGCTTTGTGGGAATAAGCTTTGTGGGAATGACACTTCATCATGACAAACTTATTAAATACACATGAGGCAAATATTATTTTTAAAATGTCATTCTCAAATAATAGTATAAGATGCAATACGATTTACTTGATGACTTGTATATAAACAATCAGTACATTTTTAAATTTATAATAAGATATTATAAAATAACTGTAATCTTATAACATAAATTTAATTTTACATATATATATATATATTTTTTATGTCAACACATATCGATATCCTTTTGTTATGTTTTAGCTAAAATTAAACTAGACCAAACTTAACTAAATAAACTTCTTATATGGCTAAGAGATCAATACATCATAATGCTAAAACAATCAACAATTGAACATAGATTCGTAACATAAATATTCGGATTTGATATTTAGTGAAATCATGGTGAACATACTCTAAGAATCGCACTCAAGCTTCAGCTTTATATTGTTACCATCCGTAAGGATATGGAACTTAATATTCTCCATCTGCATATGTATCTCCTTGGATACAGATGCTAAGATTTTTGAGGAATTCATTTGTTTAGCTTTAGAGAATAAGTAAGTTTTCAAGGCAAAAAAGTGTTCATACGAGTGATATCAAGAAACATTACCTTTCCATTTCAAAGTGCAACGGCGCTAAGCCATCACTTTTGTGTATACCTATTGGATTTCAAGAATATGCGCAAGCAAAATAAGAATTGTATAACAATGATAGATGCAACAAAACGAACATTACAGCAAGCAATATACCTTGGTTCTCAAGCTTCACTTTTGATTGGTCTCATCCATTTTTCTTTTCTTTTTTTGAAACAAGGGTTAGCTATTCATTACAAAAGAAAACCAAAGTCACAAGCCCAGCCCAGCCCATTAAAACTGATGCATCAAATCAGTTTTCCGATTAAAGACCAGACCAGAGTCGAGATTCTTTCCACAGACAAATCTACGGTGACTGTAAAGAATGAGAGCAGTGTGGAGCCACTTGAGTACCATTTCCAGTTGCAAACTCTCTCCGAAAATCATAAGAATTTCCGCAGCAAGAAGCTTGACCACGAATCGTTATCTATCACCCATGATTTCTGCTGAAGATCCAGAGCTCAGAGATTTCTTGGGTTTCTTAGAATCTCTCAAAAACTATGAGAAATCTGGTGTGCCCAAAGGAGCCGGAACTGATTCCGGTGAAGGGTTCGATCTCGGCAGAATGAAACGTCTCATGCTTCGTCTCAACAATCCTCATTTCAAGTACAAGGTTTCGTGCTCGCTAAATTTACCATTTTTCTTTCTTGTTATTGGTGAAATTAGAAGTAATCTCATCTTTAAAGTTGGAATTTTTCGGATTAATGATTCAGAATTGGGTGGATTTTAAAATGTGAAATTAACAATCAGTAATCATAGGTTGTTCATGTGGCTGGAACAAAGGGAAAAGGGTCAACTTCTGCTTTCCTCTCTAGTATCTTACGAGCAGGAGGATATTCAGTTGGTTGTTATTCTAGGTAAATGTTGAGACTTTGGATTATTAAGTATCTATATCTTGAGTTTGAATCTTTCATTGATCATTAATATGAGCATTTCTTCTTTTGAGTAGCCCACATATTCTGAGTATCAAAGAACGCATTTCCTGTAATGGAGATCCTGTTTCTGCATCCACGCTTAATGGTCTTTTCTACTCAATCAAACCGATCCTCGATCAGTCTATCCAAGAGGAAAATGGTTCTTTGAGTCATTTTGAGGTTACTATTTCTCCTAAGATTCTACCTTTACACAGTTTCCTCTGTTTTCTTATATAGATACTTCTTCTTGGCAGATTCTCACGGGGATCGCCTTTTCTTTATTTGAGAAAGAAAACGTCGACATTGCGGTTATAGAAGTTAGCAAGTTTCCTCATCCTTAGACGATTTAAAGAAACTTGCTTTTGATATTGTATAGAAAGTACTCGTCTTGATTGATTGAATATCTTATGTATAGCATTTTTGTAAATATTTGCTTTGGTACCGTCAGGCTGGGCTAGGAGGAGCTCGTGATGCTACAAATGTCATTGAAAGTTCAAATCTTGCTGCATCAGTCATAACAACGATAGGTGAGGAACACATGGCTGCACTTGGGGGCTCCTTGGAAACTATAGCAGAGGCCAAATCTGGAATTATTAAACACGGTCGTCCAGTTAGGTGGTTTTTATTTGTATATATTTGCTTTTCTTATAAACCATCAGCTTATTATAAGCACATTGATAGGGTGTGTTATATGAAACTTGTAGGTGGTTTTAGGTGGCCCGTTTCTTCCTCACATCGAAGGCATTCTTCGTTCTAAAGCAGCATCAATGTCGTCATCAGTTATGTTGTCATCTAGTATTGGATCAAGTTCTTCAATCAAAGGCATCATCAACAAAGATGGGATCGGGCTTTGCCAGTCTTGTGACATCGTAATACAAAATGAGAAAGATGATAAATTAGTAAGTTTCAAACAGTTTTGTGATTCTTAACTGTCTTACCACCAGCTAATTGAACGTAATAAACGCAGATTGTTGAGCTTGGTGATGTAAATCTACGCATGCTTGGACATCACCAGCTCCAAAATGCTGTCACTGCTACTTGTGTGGCTCTCTGTCTTCGCGACCAAGGTATGATACATTTCTATATTGTTTCATATAAAACAGCAACAAAAGAAGTAAAAAGTTTACAAATTTGTTCACTTCTTCTTGAATGAATTATCAGGATGGGGGAGAGTTACAGACGAAGCTATTCGGATTGGTTTAGAGAATACTCGTTTACTTGGTAGAAGTCAGTTTCTGACACCAAAAGAAGCTGAGGCTTTACAATTACCCGGAGCAACAGTGCTTCTTGATGGAGGTTCTCTTCGCCATTTTCTTGATAATGTAGCTTTAGTCGTCTCTGTTTCGAAATTGAGTCGATTTGCAACTATGTGAAAAATTCTACTTTGCTTGAAACTATTGGCTTACGGTATTCAATCTTTGGTCTGTTTTTCAGCTCACACCAAAGAATCTGCACGAGCTCTTAAGGAGATGATAAAGAAGGATTTTTCAGAGAAGAGACTGGTGTTTGTGGTTGCAATGGCTAGTGACAAAGATCATGATTCTTTTGCAAAAGAACTTCTCTCAGGTCTGAAACCAGAAGCAGTGGTTCTAACAGAAGCTGACATTGGTGGATCCAAGGTTAGATCAACCGCGTGTTCTGTTTTGAAGGAATCATGGATGATAGCTGCTGATGAGTTAGGTTTAGGGTTTATGGAAGCTTCAGAAAACGAAACTGTGTTTGGTTCTTTAAAGCTTGCCCATAAGATTCTCACCGATGACACAACTGGTGACTCAGGAATGGTTGTAGTCACCGGATCACTACACGTTGTATCCTCAGTCTTAGCTTCTCTGCAACATTAGATATCTACTTTTGTTTGTTACATCTATGATTCTATTGTAACTGCTCAGTTTCTTTGTTACAAAACCAAAAGAATAAACAAACATAGATATTCTTTTGGTTCCTCTCTTCTTCATGACCGTCACATCAAAAGAAAATTTGATCAATGAATCCTTTTCACAAATCTTCCTCGGATCCCGAAATGTTGAGTTTAGCTCTGAGTTATGCAACGATTATAAAACTCAGTGATTCGTAGTTTGTGATCCTTAACCGGAGAGAGAAAATTTAACGATTGTGCCACTGTCAAATGCTTGGAACCCTACGAGTCATCAGAGACTTTCCATTAGGTGAGCTAAAGAGACTAGAGAGATAGGTTTAGTTATGTTTGTCCCACATCGATTGTGTAAGAGACGTGTGATAACGAGTGGGCCTATAAAAAGAGAAGAGGTGCGCTTGTAAAAAAATATGATCCTTCAGGCAAGTTAAAGGGGAAATGAGGAATGGGTTTAATCACGCATAATTGCGTGAAGAGCGTTCCGCTCAAAGCCTGTTACGACAATTGGGCGCTCCAATTTTCAATTAATCTGATCCCTCTCTTGTTTCAAGTTTTGTTATTCTTAAAAAATGGTTTTAAATGCAAAAACTATTTTTATTAATTTAGCTGTTTAAAATTTTCACGAAACGTTTTTATAAATTATAATGATAAGCAAAAAAGAGCTTGAATCATAGTAATAATAGTGTTTCTGTTATCAAGTTTCAACTTTTACTTATAAGGCTTAAAAATAAAATTATGTATAAGGTAGACTATATTAGTAAATATCATTGCTTTAGAAATACAATTTTTAGCTGATCAAGTCATTATGATAAATAACTTCGCAGGGTTTATCATTATCCTACATGCCTTTTTTATTTATTTTTCACGACTTTAGAGACAAAAAATAAAAGTGTACACAACAGAGTACGTAATTTACGACTGAGCATTCGGTTACTTGAACTTAATACAAGTCCCATAAGGAATCACAATTTTCTTTACTTGGTTAGAAAATTTCATTTGCGTGTTCGGTTAGGTTTTAAGACAATAAAAAAGTAGAACTTAAATTGAGCTTCGAAATTATTTTAAAATTTGAGTTTATTTTATCGTTTAATTCTGTATATTTAATACAGTTATTGTTCTCAATGAATTTTGACCAGCCCTAATTAATCTCCATATAAAAAAAGCAAATTTAAATTTGAACTTTTAAACGAGCCAAAAAGAAAAAACTTTTAACCGATAAATGCCCGGCAGAGAATGTGAAAAATTCTTGTAACGATCTAACATCCTTCATATAATTCTAACGTAAAAAACAATCATATTGAGGAGAGAAACAGAGTTCAGAAAGACATTTGACTTCTCAAATCAAAGGTACTATTTAACCTTGAATCAGACCAAAAGGAAACAAAATCAAAGGTACTATTCAAGGAAGATCAGATCCAGCAGCTGGACCAGCACCACCAGCTCCACGGCCAAACCCAGGCCTAGCTCCAGGTCCCTGTAGAAACCAAAATGATTCAGTTAAACAAAATGTTTGTTACATAAAAAGTTTAAAGCAGGCGTTTTTGCAGTCGTTAACCAAAATCTCATGTAAGAGGCTCAGAGAGAAATGGGATGAGTAAAGATCACAATTTACACAATATACTAGTGAGTAGGTTACTCAAGGAGTTGACAGAATGATTTTGCAAGACTAAGTGGCTTAGGGGACCTAAGAACGCTACAAAGTTGTGAAACAGTGGCTTAAGAAGTCTACGAGCAGGCATGAGCGTAACCACTAATAGAGAGTTTGCAAGAACCCAAATTCACAGAGAATGAGGAGGAGATAGAAATGGTACCCTGAAAGAAGGCTGGTAATCAGCAGGAGCTCCACTCTTGTCACCAAACTCTCCACCTGATCTCGGACCTCCACGATATCCCTCTCTGTCACCAAACTTCCTCTCTCCCTCAAAACGAGGTGGGCCACTGTAAAAATCAAATCAAAACACAGTCACATATTAACGCTTTACAAGTACCCATAACACTCTTTCACTAGATTCAATCCAAGACATGATAAGCTTCATTGGACAATCGTATTCAATCGCAATGGTCATGACAATGAAACCAATTTGAAGATTCAAGTTGATTACCGTGGACGGTCACCAGGTGGGCCTCCAAAAGGTCGGCCAAGAGGTTTCTGCTGCTTCTTCAAAGTGGCGGGAACAATCTCAGATGGGAGATTGAGGTAAGTCCTGAGAAAGTCAATGCCTTCGTTTGTGAGGAACCAGTAGTAATGCATCCAAGCAAATGTCTCTCGCACGTATTCCTTTGATTTGAAGCTCTGCATCAGCTTGATGACTTGCAGATTCGGAACACCCTCGATCAATGGATGTTGCGCTAAATTGAAATCCTTCTTCGCAAACAGAACACCCTCTGCACCAAAAACCAATCAACATTTTCTGAAGTAAATTATGCTGAATCAATCAATGCCAATTGTCTTCGATGCTTAAAACCCTTTTTACGATGAAGCTCGAAACAAGATGCGTACCTTTGAAGAGGTACTTGGAGATCTCGCGGCGATTCTTCTCTGATATGATCTGCAAGTACGTGACAACATCAATTTTTACCGTTTGAATGCAATCTAAATAAGCATTTCAATAGCATAATCAGTGGGTCGGGAATAGAGATCTACCATGATTGCGATGAGATTGATAGAGAAGGCGACAGAGAAGGCGTCTGCGTTTGTATGTGACGGCTTTCTCTCCTTCTCCTAACGCGAAACCCTAATTTCAACAGAAGCCGCCATTTTTATAACTCGTTTGTTTTAAGGGTTTATGCGTCCCAAATTGGGCCTAGATTAAGAAAATCATCTTTTAATGGGCCAACAAGCCCAAACTTACCCAATCTAACAGAAGTTCTTCTTAATACGGTATCGTTTAGCTAAAGTTGTCCTAAAATTTTCTATCACAACAATTAATGTAAAAAAACATTTTAACTCTATTTACGAATTATGTGATATATTTTTATTAGTTTTTATCTATGTTAAAACAAACTGTTCTAAATTATTGTGGTTTAATGCTTTATTTCTCTATCAAATCAAACCGTTTCTAAAATTTTATAGAACCAAAATTTAATAAAAATTTAATAAAAATTTAACAAAAAAATTTAAAAATCAGTAAATAGAAATAAAATGCTAGTATTTGTGATGTCTAGATTAGTGTATTCGATTTTAAATGTTTCAGTATAAATATCTATTATATAAAAACTCAGTTGAGTCTTATAAACTTGACACATCAGTTCAAAGTTTAGTGAAGACCAAATTTTAGTGAAACTCTAATTAATTTAAGCTAACTACTTTTATGTTCATTTTTCTGTGCACTGATTTATTTATCATCATGGGCCTCATGGTTTATTGACTCTCATTTTTTATGCTTTCTATTCTTAATGATGCTTCAAACGTTGTCTTAAATATTGGTCACTCATGTTTCAACGCATAAAAAATAATCAGCAAATATAGAGGAGAAGACATGAAAGAAGTAAATATTACCTAAGATTTTCTAATAAATCTCTAATCTACAGCTTCCACGTTGTAACTTATGCAAATTTCTATATAAAAGCTTACGAAAGTGAATGTTGTTCACAAATCCACAGTCTAAGATTTATTTCTTGGCCATGGGCAGAACATCTACATTTAATACCATCGTTTGTGTTCATTTAAAGAGAAAGAAGAATTTTGCTTTAAAAAAGAAGATTTTGTATGATGGTTTCGAGAATTCTGTGAAGAGTAAATAGCAAGGCAAAACTATAATAATAATTTCTATAATAATAATAATTCAGCAACGAAGCTATAATATCCTGTCTCTTATGAATAGGAAATCTAATAAAAAATATATATATTCAATAATAGGAAAAAAAATAAATAACTTCAAACTACTATTAAATTTTCAAACAATAAAATAAAAAATTATATCAGTCTATACAAAACGTATGCAAGGTCACTAATTTAAGTAATTAGTTAGTGAAAAACTCCATCAAGTGCCAATATTTTCTGGATCAAATCATCAAAGGTTCAAAACAGATAATAGCTTGAAATGGATAGGACACATAATTTTCCCAATCATACAAAAAGATACATTTGATGAATCGAAACTTTGAAAGCAATAAAAGAGAGAGCAATATGTATTAATCTTATATCGTAAATCTTGCAAAACAAAACTATGAAAATACAAGATATAACAACAGCAAAAACATACCAAACGCACTCACCTTTATCATCATATTCATTGCCGTCTTCGAACCATGATGGCTGGTTATGTATTCTTTGTCGTCGTCATCATCATTTTCTTCTCCAGACCAAATCTTATTAATCCAACTCCAACAACATGTATATTCACATGTTTCAAGTTGATAGTATTCATCTCTATCTGTGTGGTCGTCGTTGCTGCCTCCAGTATCAAAGTAATCCACTTCGCTACCACTACTACTCTCTGTTTCCTCACTTAAAATCTCTACACCGCACTCAAGAATCTTGAGGTTATCCATGCAGCTGAATTCAAACAAAACTTTGTTGGCAATCACGTCCACTTTAGGTGTTTCTTGAACCAAGTTAGCACCACATATGAACAGATGCTCCGTTAGGAAATGAGAAACATTCATTGAATCCCAATTAAGTTCCATAACGATGACACCTCCTTCGGTTATCAGTCGACAAGCTATATCAAGATATGAGTATTTGACTGGAGAAAGCAGAAGACACGCCTTGAATCTTGAGGATGCATAGAAAGCAACCATAGGTATGACTATGGTGTTTCCTTTAGCTTTGTGAGTGAACTCCACAGGAACTTCTTTACCCGGTAAACATACATATTCGTAAACCCTTTGTTGTATGATTGCTCTTCTTGATTCTTCATCCAGTTTCAAACAGTTTTGGAACATGAGTTCCCTGATTGGATATTGGAACATGAGGTCCTTCATTGTATCATTGAAATAGAAAGACACTCTCTCGAGTGATCCACAATCGGTGGCGTCCATGTACTTGAGGGAAGGGGGAAGTCCTTGTAATGACACGAGTTTTCGACACTTGAAGACGAAAAGACTTTCTAGTCGAGAGAGGCCCATGACGCAATCAGGAATCTTCACTATACCACTGTTGCTTAGGTCTAGATGTGTTACGTTTTCAGGGACATGTGTTAGTCTCTTGAGGTTTCTACTGCCTATACGAAGCCACTCAAGACGAGGCAAACGTTCAACAATTGATGAATGAACTTCCAACTTTGTGTTTCCAACATCGAGATCCTTGATGTTCATAGATATGTCGGGATAACTTGTCAATCGTGAGCAATCACTCATGTCTACTTCCTCAAGAGATGCTAAGTTGATGTTGGTTGGGACAACTTGTAGCTTTGCGCACCCCATCATCATTAGCTTTTTCAGCTTATGTAGATTCCTAATGGAAGAGGGAAGCTCCACCAAACTTGTGCAAGACGTAAGTATCAATGTCTTGAGACTAGTAGCCTTGGAAAGATCTGGAATCTCTATCAAATTTTTGGAATAACCCAAATCGATCTCCTTGAGATTTGTAAGGGGCTGCATTGTCAAAACATAACAAATGAGAAATATTTTCTTTAGATTGAATCATTAGAAACATAGTTAAGAAATACAAAATGCCAACCTGGATTCCTCTCCAGAGCTTCTCGAGCTTGCTGTATGTCATATGAAATTCAACGAGACATTCCGGTCGAAATTTTGGAGGAAGAAGTGTTCCTGGGTATGAATCCCAATGTAATAACTTTAGACGAGGTAGATATTCCATTTCTTCTAACATCTGAAATGCACTAAAATGTCTCCCATAGATTCTTAAGAATCGTAGGTTACGCATTCCTTCAAAGGCTCGCCCACTTATTGAGAACTCGTAGACCTTTGACATATCAAGTGATATACCTAAGACTGATCCAGTACCCTCACAATCATTCCAGAAAAAGATATCGGTGAAACTGTGAGAAAAGACTAAAAAACTTGTTGAGCAAGTTATCTAGAGAATATAAAAGTAAGAACTTACTGTTTCATTTGCAAGCACGTTACGAATATCTGTGGCATCTACTAAAAACTGACGTTTTCCAGGCTCATCAGACTGTTCATAAATACTTGTCTCCCCAATTGTTGCAGTAAGCAATGCATCCTGATACACCCGTTGGTTGATCTATACACGAGAGATTTATCTGAAAGGGTCTTCAGCCCATTTATGACATCCAAGTCGCTGTCGGCTAGCATGGTTGTCACATGATCAATGGAATCATTGTTAAAGAAGAATGCAATGTGGAGGAATAGAGATTGATCTTTCTTCAATAGTTTGTCATATCCAACTCTTAACACATCTTCAATTTTCCTATCGAGGCTAGTTTCTAGCCTAGATACTTGACCTTCCCACTCGTTCCTACTCTCCCCACGCAAAGATGAACCCACAACACGAAGGCCTAATGGAAGATTACCGCAAAGATTTGTTATTTTCTTCGCAGGCTCTTCAAAACCATCCAATGGAGATATTTGCTTGAAGGCATATACACATAAGATCTCAAGAGCTTCCTCTTCGGATGGATAACCCACATGGTAGATATCATCTACCCAGTGTGCCTTCAATATCTTTCTATCTTTCGTAGAAACGATAATTCTACTTCCTAAACCAAACCATGATGGTTCTTTAGCCAAGGCATCTAGTTGTTCAAGATCATCTACATCGTCAAGAACTATAAGGACTCTTTGGTCTTGGAGCCATTCTTTTATTGTGCCTAAATGATGTACCCTCATATCCCTTTGGTTCAAAATCTCGGACAGAAACTGGCTTTGTAAATACAACTTTGAATCATGGTCATCCATACCACAACTTCCATTGAGGTTCTTGATAAAACATTTAAGCTGGAAATCAACAGAGAGCTGGTTGAATAAAGCTCTAGCAATGGTTGTCTTACCGATTCCAGCAGGACCTTGGATTCCAATCATCTTTACTTCATTACACTCAAGACGTAAATAAGAGTTTATTTTTCTTAAATGAGCTTCCATTCCCACCATCCCGTCAAAATCCTTTGATGGTGTAACATTAACTTTGTTTGAAACATCAACAGCAATCTTTTCGATCATCTCAGCTTTATCATCCCTAACAAAAAAAAGAAAAAAAAAACCTAAAGTTGGAGAGACATCACAATTGAAGCATCACAGTTAAAGTTTATTGAGCGTTGGTTTACTTAATATGTTGTTTATAAAGTATTAAATGAATAAATTAGAAATTTAAAGTGTGTTATTATTTTTTTGTATTTTAATTGATTTGAAAATCTATCTAATTTTAAAAATTAATAAAATAAAATTAAAATGTGAATATCAACCAGTATTTTATAAATCGGTTCAAAATAACAAGTTGCCCCTCTAATATATAAGCATTTGTCTTTCAAATCTTTTTCTTTGATGTTAAACCCACATACAGTATTTGATTTAAAATCAGTGATGATTTCCCAATCCTACGTGCGTTTATAATCAAATAAAACTCCTAAATCAATAAGCAAAGAGCTCTAATCACTAAATTATCAAGAGACAAGAAAAAAAAATGCATACCAATTTAGGGAATAATCTCCTTCTATGTTTGAAACTGTGGTGGTTAGTTTGATATCACAAAGGAGTTAGTCTATGTTCGAACTCTGTTAAGAAAGAGGCTTCTGATCAAAGTCGCTATCAGGTGCAGAGGGTCTCAACATCTCTATCGGATATGAGAGAAAATCAAAGACTCTGTCCGAAAGAAAAGGTTTGTATTACTTAGA